CTCTTCCCACATGCTGTGTGCTTTGCTCTGTACGTGGGTGGTGGGCATCATGTGTCCAGATGGAAGGACCAGGATGTCAGGTAGGAAGTCAGCTTACTCTTTCTGTGTGGGTTCCTGATCCTGTCTCCTGTCCGAATTCTCTCTTTGGTTTGCTTGCTCCTTCATTCATCTGGGAAGTGGGTCCATCCTGTTCAGCACCATGGTTGCTGTTCCCCTTTTCCTTTTTTGGGGAGTGGTCCGTACTCCGCAGTCCTCAGGCCTAGGATAGGTGTCTGTAGCTTCATCAGCTAATGGCAGTTAGGTGACTCCAGGGTTGGACACAGCAGATGGGGCAGCTGACTTTCCCATCGCCCGAGGGACAGTTTTAAATAAGCCCCGCACTTGCCTGATGTTCGACGCCCCCCAGTCCTGTGGGAGCCTCGCAGGGGAGCTACCCCACCACCTGTCCGACGTGCCCAGGGAGTGTGTACAACGGTGCAGGTGCGAATGGGTTCTGACTCCCGGGAACAGGCTGTGGCATTTAGTGCCCTTGGGGGGCATAGGGGTCCTCCCCGGTCTCTTGACTGAGCGGTCTGAAGAGGGAGACCCTGCTCCCATCTGCTCCTGTTTTAAAGAGAAGCCTCCACTTTGAACTGTGGAAGAATGGCCAACACTGCGTTTGAGTAAAAAAAATCATACATTTCCAGGCAATCTGAATTTTATTGAAAAGCTTGTATAATAATAACTTTGGTTTCTGTACTAGTGTTAAGTGACTAGAAATTTCTGGAAGGTTTTCTCAAACTTTATTTTGGGAAAATAACTATGAGATCGGTTATTCGTTCAACAATTCAGAGATGATCCTTTCTCACATTTTAAGCAGATAAACTGAGGAGTGGAGAGTCCTGCTGGAGCCAGGACTCGAACCCCAACCTTCTTCCTCTATCCAGAATTCTGGAAAGTGGCCTGAAGTGGTTTAATAACCGCCCCCCCACCCCCCGCCCGCAACTCAGACTTCTTTCTTCTTGGAAAAAAATAACAACTGCCATTTGTTGAATACGTAACTTGTGCCAGGCACTGTTGTCAGCTCTTGTAATCCTTACAACAAATCTGTGAGGCAGATACTATCATCCCCCTTTTACAGATAAAGAAACTGAGGCTCTGAGAAGCCAAATAACTTACCCAAGGACACACCACCAGTACACAGCAGAGCCTGGATTCAGTCCAGGTCTGAGGAGCTGCAGAGCCTATGCTTTTAACTCAGATACCATTGGACTGAGTCCTGAATGTTCTTACCAATCCATGTTAGGTGCAGGTAAAAATTGAGACTCTGAGACCAGATCTTCATCCGAGCCTCCCACAGATGCCATAGCCTGATGGCTCCACGCCTGGCAGATTTCCAGGGACTCTTTCCTTCCATCTCCATCCCCAAGTGATTTGAGAACACATTTCAAGGCCACGTCTGTGGGCAAGGGAGCCCAGGTTTGGCCTGCCGTTTCCAGGATTCCTGCTCTGGTCCACAGCTCACAAGCCATGAGGCCAAGTGCTAAATTACTGACCTTCCCCCCAAGAAATTGCTTTTGTCACCTTCCTTCCCCTCCAAATGATGAGCTCTCAAGTCTCCTTGCAGCTGAGACCCCCCTCCCATTACAGCTGGAATGGGAAATCGTCCCCACCCCCGCTGGTGCTCTAGGTTCTCAGAGCGGGGTCCCTAGACGAGTAGCATCAGCATCCCCTGGGAACATAGAAGTGTCAGGTCTCAAGCCCCATTCTGGATGTACTGGATCAGAAACTCTGGGGGGTGGAACCCAGTGATTGGTCAAACTGTAGTCTCCTAGGTGATTCTGATACGCAGCTCAAGTCTGAGAACCACTGCTCAAAGCAGGGTGCCCCCAGGTCTCTCCGGAGTGGCATCCCACATGCCGTATCCAGGAAACCTCTCTCGTCTCTGTTGTTTTGGAGGCTGCCTGGTGTTGATAATGTCAGAACAAGTGTGTCCCCTGGACTGACGGTGGGTTCCGGGGGGGGCGGAGTCAGGCACTCGCGTGCTCTTGTGGCAGGTGAACTGTCATGTCACCCTGTTCCGTGCTGACCAGCTGCGCGGTACCGCTTGTCCGTCTTCCTGCCAAGCTCACGGATGCTGCCCCCCCCACCCAGGGGGACAGGACTGACCCAGCTGCCCTCCCCCCTCTTCCTCTTTCCCACACAGGGTTTGTATTCTAAATAAGATGGCTATGATACATTGACATCACAGAGAGTCAGACCCCTGTGAATTGACACCATATCTAGGGCAAACAAGAGGGAGTAATGAGCGTATCTTCACTTTTGGAAACATTACTCTGTATCAGACGCTGCCCTGGGTGCTTGATGCGAATTCACATCGCTGTCATAAATCCGTGATGTGGGCATGATTCTCTCTGATTTACCAAGAGAAAGAAACGAATAATTATTATTATTTATTAATAATTTTACCTAGAGAAGGAAACGAAGGAACAGAGGAATTAGGTACATTTTCTACGCCTGCTGAGTGACAGAATTCCAACCCAGACAGGCTGGCTCCAGAGCCGTTGTTTTTAGCTGCCTTGTTAAACTGCCTCTTAGGGAAGGAGCATTATTGAGTGCCTACTGTATGCCAGCACTGTGCCAAGCTCTTTATAAACATTTCCTCATTTAAGTTCCCCAGCCATTCAACAAGATAGGTGCTCTTTCCCCCAGGGTACACAAGATGGAAGTAAAGGCTAGTTTAAATGTTCTGCTGACCGAGGGCCTCCGCTCCTAAGCGACAGAGGCAGGTTTCAAACCCCGGTTCGGCGGCCCCGCTGTGCCGAGCTTGAGCCAGCGTGTGTGCCCGGCCGCTGGTGGTGCTGGGCCGCTCTGTGCAAGTGGCAGGTGTTGGGACCACCTGTTGAGCTAGTTCACGAATGGAAAATCAACTCCTTCCCGGCCTGATTCTTGGCTTAATCCCGACATCTTGCAGTATCCCTCCTTCTCACACTCCATGCCCTCAGTGTTACTCAGCCTCTTGTGTTCCTTCCGATCGTGTGACCGTAGTTTTGGTGGCACTTGCTGAATCCGTGGAGCTGGGGATTCAAGTCCCTGCCCTCGGCCAGCCTGGCCATTGGCCAGTGCCCATTCAGCCTCATTGGGCAGTTCACGAGGGTCCCAGGGAGGGCCAGCCTCGGGGGCGGGGGCGGGGGTGAGGGCGCAGAGTAAGCAAGTGGCCGCGTCCCCTACAAGAAGAGCGCCACCTGCCACACTGACCGCCGGCTCTCACTCAACCCTCACGTGCTTTAGAGCCTCCCTGAGTAGAGGTGGGACCCCGGACCGTGAGCTCCTTTCTCCCTGAAGCTCCCTAAGTTGTTGGGGTCCCACCTTTCATATTACCTTTTTCTGCAATGTTCTTTTTCCCTAACCCCTTGCTCTTGGGCCAGGTCCGCTGTTTCACGAGGCTCCCAGGCTCCTGCCACCTCTTTGTAGCTTCCAGAGGCAGATTCCTGCCCCACTACCTGCCCTCTCTCGTAGGTACCCGTCAGGTTTTGAGATTACTTGTTCATTAATCTATTCAACTTAGTGCCCGATCACTGACTCTCTGCTCTGTAGAGGCCAGAGAGTGTGGGTGATGGGGACGCGGAAGAGAGATCACCCAGCATAGTGGTCCAGGGCCCTGGCTTTTGAGCCAGGCTGTCTGGGTTTGAATCCCAGCTCCATCCTTATTATTTGTAACTTGATATTGAGTAAGTTATAAGAATTTAAAGCTATAGATACAATATTTACAATATACCCAGTATATAGTTAGTGCTTAATAAATGTTAACTTATGATTATTGTTATATGGTTGTTTCATTTTCTATTGCTATATAACGAATTGCCACAAATTTAGAAGCTTTAAACAAGACAAGTGTATTATCTCACGGTCCCTAAGGGTCAGAGAACTGGGCATGGGATGGCTGGATTCTCACTCAGGGCCTCCCTGGGCTGAAATCAAGGTGGGGGCAAGGCTCCAGTTCCCCTCCAGAGTGTGCCACACTCCTCTAGGCTCCCTGACTTCCTTTCCTTGCACGTGGAGGACTATGGTCACCATTTCCCTGCTGGCTCCTTGCCACGAGGCTCCCACAGGTAGCTCACACGTGGCTGTCTTCCAAACCCAGATCTAAAAGTTCTCATGATTCAGCCAGGCCCACCCTCCCCCCACCCCCAGTAATCCCCCTTTATCTAACCCAAAGTCAACTGATTAGTAACCTTAGTTACATCTACAGGGATCCCTTTTGCCAGATGATGTGACATAATCATGGGAGTGGTACAGCCACGGGTCCTGCCTCAAGGGGGAGGACATGGTACAAGGGCTAGGTCACCGTGTTCTCTGGTCGGAATAACCAGCACAGACTTACCTGCAGTTAGGTCCGTGTAAACGATACAGAGCCCTCCAGGAATTCACTTACCCTTTCATTGTGAGAGTCTCCTCGTTAATGAAGGATGTAGATAACGGACTGGATTAGTTTCCTAGGACTGCCATAACAAAATACTACAAACTGGGTAGCTCAACACAATGGAAATTTATTCTCTCATAGTTGCGGAAGCCAGAAATCCAAAATCAAGGTGTTGGCAGGTTCATTCTTCCTCTAGGGAAGAATCCTTCCTTGCCTCTCTCCAGCTTCTGGTGGAGGCTGACCATCCTTGGCATTCCTTGGCTCGTGGGTACGTCACTTCAATCTCTGCCTCCACCTTCCCATGGCATCCTCCCGGTGTATGTCTCAGTATCCACATTTCCTTCTTATAAAGACACCAGTGGTTGGATTAGAGCCCTAATCCACCATGACCTCATCTTGATACATCTGTAAAGACCCTCTTTCCAAATAGGTCACATCCACATGTACTGGGGGTTAGGACTTGAACCTATCTTTTGGGGGGACATCGTGCAACCCACAACAAGGACTGTATCCACATACACCTTTTCTTCCTCTGAACCAGCACTGTTGGGGAAGCTGAGCTTCGTTTCACCCAATGGCTTTTCTCCATGTGACCTAGGTACCACGTCTGGACTAAAGGCCACGCTCCCACAAACTTTGCCAAGTGGCGGACTGCCACCACGCCTTACCGTGTTGAGTGGGAGGCAGATTTCGAGCCGTACGTTGTCGTGAGAAGGGACTGCCCTGAGTACGACCGGAGGTTTGTGGGCTTTGGCTGGAACAAGGTGGCTCATATCATGGAATTGGATGCCCAGGTGAGATGGTGAGGTGTCGTGTAGTTGGCGCCATGGGGGGAGAAAGCGTCGGCTTCAGGGCTGAAAGGGGACCTTGGAGGTCAGAGAACAGAGCCCTGAGAGGGAAGGAAACGTGGTCAGGGACCGGAAGTGAGAACGTGGCAATGCTAATTCTCATGGCCACTGATTCCCAAACCATTGCTCCTTCTCTACACCTTTGGGTGAGAGTTGGATTCCCAGCCAGGACCCAGGCAAGTGTGAGTGTCCTATGACAAAACATTTCACTCCCCACCCTCACCCAATTTAATGATGAGGACAAAATACCATCACCAACTTGGCCTTTGAGCCATATAACTAACACACAGCATTCTCCCAAGTTCCATATAAGGGACACAAGAAGGCATGTGGCTGAGATGCAGCTCATTATCCTGCCCTGTAACTAAAAGTGATGATTTTCAGGCTGTATTTCGTTGTGAAACACTTTCAGTCATTCAACTAATATTTACTAAACACCTACTTCAAAAGAAATCAGCAGAATTCTAACAGGTTACACCAGGTGTCTGCAAGCTTTTTCTGCAAAAGATCGGATAGTAGATTTGGGGGCTCCGTGGGGCCGACAGGTCTCCTTTTCAACTACTCAACTCTGTGGTTGTAGTTCACCTATAGACAGTATCTAAACGTGGATGTGGCTGTGTTCCAATAAAACTTTATTTATAAAAACAATGCAGCAGGCCAGACATGCTGAGTTCATCAACCCCAGTGTTAAATAAACAAAAGCAAAGCTAAGCTACTCTGGGTAAGTGAGGAGAAGCATGCCTGGGCCTCTCAGCCCCACCTTGTTTCCGTTTGTGTGCTGTTCTCCAAGGCTTCTCATGCAGCACAGAGTAAATATTTCTCAACAGGAGCACTTCAAATTCAAAAAAAAAAAAAGGTCGGATGCTCAGTGCTGGCTGCCCTGAGAATCACCTGGAGAACTTTCCAACAGTTCCAGTGTGTTTGAGAGCGTTCCCAAGTGATTTTTTTTTTTAAGATTTTATTTATGTATTTTTGAGAGAGAGAGCACGAGCGGGGGTGAAGGGCAGAGAAAGAAGCAGACTCCCCGCTGAGCAAGGAGCCCTATGCAGGACTCGATCCCAGGACCCCGGGATTATGATCTGAGCCAAAGGCAGACGCTTAACTGACTGAGCCACCCAGGCACCCAGTCCCACATGATTTTAGTAAGCATCTAGGGTTGCAAACCACTGGTGTAAATGGAAGGCTGTAGAATAGTGTCCATATATAACAACAGAAGCATGACCATTAATGTCCATTTTTTTAATAATACTTGGAGGTAGTACAGTGCTGCTCACAGACCGAAATGTTCAGTCTGCCCCAGCTTCTGCTTGAAGGAAAAGAAATGTCATATGCTATGTCCAGCAGTGTGGTGAGGTGAACTAGTTCAAATAAAGTTAATTTTTCCAGCCCTGAGATGTGGGCTTTGTATATTTTAGGCAATTTTGACAGAACGCTTACAAATTTCTTGGTTATTTTTCTTTCTTTGCCAGTAACACATCTAAATATAACTTCACCCTTTCCGGTGATTTCTGGAAATAAATGAGTACATACCTGACAGGTAATGGCCACACCTAGAGGGCTAGTGGGATTGGTCAGGTTCTTTGTCCCCACAGGAAAGTCCCAAACAGCTAAGCTCTGGGGGCTCTTGCATTTTCTTCTCCGGATTATTTGTATTCCTCCTCACCATCAACTGTCCTTTCTTGCTGTGTCAGTGTTCCTCCATCTGTAAGAGCTCCCTTTCCCCATTCTAATATTCCCTTTCAGAGTTTCTTCTGATCTGCTCTGGGCTGGGGAACTAGATAACCAAGGCTTATCAGACATTATGCCCAAAATCAGAGAACACGGGGTCCGAGTGAAGGTGTGCTGGGTTCTCCTTGGAGTTCCATGCCCTAAATTTGTGTCAGCTATTTTGGCTATTTGGAGGCATTTTATTTTTGGTCTGAGTTTCTATCTGTATTCTGCCAAGTGGAGGCTACTGTATGGTGGTGTGACTTATAATAAGGATGAGTAGACAAGAGCTTTGTTTTTTTTTTTTTGCATTAGTTTTTATTTTGCTCAAGAACACCCACTAGTAATTCTTTTTTTAATTTCTTTTTTAAAATATTTTTTAATTTAAATTCAATTAATTAATATATAATGTATTATTGGTCTCAGAGGTAGAGGCCAGGGATTCATCAGTCTTATATAACACCCAGTGTTCATTACATCACATGCTCTCCTTAATGTCCATCACCCAGTTACCCCATCCCCCCACCCCCCTTCCCTCCAGCAGCCCTCAGTTTGTTTCCTATGATTAAGAGTCTCTTAGGGTTTGTTCTTAATGAGCTTCCATCCAGTGGGATCTTTTTTTTTTCTTGATTCTTTTTTTGTCCCCTCTTGTGTACTAATCTGTTGAGGCTGTTAAATCTCATCAAGCCCTATGAGAAATCACAGAAACAGACATCATTTCATTGAGCAAGAGCATCTCTCATGGCTTGTGTCATTCTAGAGCAACCACATGGGCACATGCTCACATTTACCAAGAACCTTTCACAGGCTATGAGCTCTGCCCAGCACTATCCATCCCTGACTGGTCATCTTTCAAGGTAGGTGTTATTACGTTTACTTTATACATGAGAAAACTAAGGCATAGAGAATCCCAGTAATTTGTCCGGAGTCATGGAAACAGCCCTGCACTGTCCCTCTCCAACATGGCTCTCTTTCCATTGCCCCCCTCCTTGCTGATGTCGTTCCCCTCTTCATTCATTCACTTGGTCATTTGGTCATGCATTTGGTCATCGGTCATACATTCCCAGGGGTCCTTGCAAGTGCTCACGCTGCTCTTGTCTTCCAGGAATATGAATTCATCGTGCTGCCCAATGCCTACATGATCCACATGCCTCATGCCCCCAGCTTCGATATCACCAAGTTCCGGTCCAACAAGCAATACCGCATCTGTCTCAAAACCCTGAAGGAAGAGTTTCAGCAGGACATGTCCCGCCGCTACGGCTTTGCCGCCCTCAAGTATCTCACGGCTGAGAACAACAGCTAACACCAGGAAGCCCACCACTAGGGGGAGAGACCTGTTCTGCAGGGGGAACGCCACTCGCCGTTTGGGGCCCAGCCTTCAAACTCAAAATTGAGCAATGCTTTTTTGGTTTGTTTTTACTTGTCTCTTTGGCCCAACAAAGCCGCCCACACTACAGAGATCTGGGACAAGGATCCGGCCAGCGCCTCTCTGCTCCACAATCTGGCACTCCCAGAATGTGGAAGAACAGCTCGTCGACACAGTCTCTTCAAGAACAGTACACAGAGGAGTTAGAGGGAGCAAAGGGGTTATCCGAACACAAAGCCACAAAACGAAGCAGGTCTTTAGGACGTTCTCATTGCTTTTTAAGAAAGGGAAGTCAGGGTGCTGGGGGTTAGCCATCCCAGGAAATAAAAGCAAAACTGTCTCTTCGTTCAGAGGAAACGTTCTTTTTTTGTCCCGCAATCTAGCTGCGTATCCAAGGTGGGAGGCAAACCAATGATCTGAACCAACCATTTGGAAAAACCCAATGGGGACATTACACCAGGTGGGACCTGGAGATGGGGGTCGGTTGGTTCCTTATCCTCAAGGACACTCTTGTTTTGCTTCGATTTGTTTTTGTTTGGGGGGATTTTGTTTGTTTGTTTTTGGTCTGGGAATCCAAAATAGAAAACCTGATCGTTTAAGGCTCTGAAGGAGAATCCGCTGCCCCATCCAACATGCCCCTGCCATCAGTGGCCCAGCAAGGAGTACGAGAGTCTTCAGCCAATATTTAAACATGGGCAGCCTTCTTCAGGATTATCCCTGAGGCCCCCATGACCTTGAATCCCCTACTCTGCAGAATCCAGGGGCTAAGACGGAGGCGGTAGAAATACGAAGACCGTCACATTTGCTATTGGCCGTGACTGGTTCATAGGGAAAGGGCTCAGAAGGGACTGTTCCGGTGCACGCGGAAGGTACGGACCTCTCAGGCCTTTAGAAGAACTGCAGTAGTTCACACAAGCTTGTAGTTCACACAGATTCTAAAGATCCACGTGTCCGTCTGGAGACCGTCAGGAAGAACGTGTTGGGTTCCTCTGTGTCCGTGCTGCTTCCCTGCGGCTGGGACGAGGTCACGGCCTCGGGCTCCCTCTGGGACCTGTGCAGAGGGTAGGCAAGCACCTTTACCATTAACATGGATTGAGGAGACACTGGACTTTTTACCCATTTTCTTGAATCTTCAATATTAATGTTGTGTTTACATTGATGAGGACAAGAGTCCACGCCCTACTTTGGGTGGGGCTCTTTGTATTGAGTTGCAATGTGACCAGCGAACGCTGCATTCAATAAACGAAAGTCCGGACTGTTTCTTCCCCGCTCCCTCCCACTCCTATAAGAAGCTGCCGAGACACACGCCAGTGTAGAGAGCAAGATCCATAAACGGCAACCTTACACTGTTCTCCCGTTTTGTTTTTCTCATCCTTTGAAACTTACCCTTCTTTCCTCCTCTTCTGAGGTTAGATCTCGCTTTACGCTCTCACCCTCAAAGCATCTTCAGAGTCTCTGTCCAGCTTGGGTCTTAGCACGGAAGCCATTCTCTATCCCAGATGCCAGCAAGCTAAATCGTGGTAATCACTAGCAGAGCGAGCCCCCAACCCCTGTCCCGGTGGTCACGTGACACCCCACAGCGCTCTGACTTCCGAGCCCCTCCCACATGTTATGTGCTAAAGTGGAGATTTCACTTAGATGTATTTTTTAAAAAAACTTAGGAAAACAATGATTTGGACTAATCCTCACACAGATGCGGATAAGTTTCTGTGCGTGTACATGTATGCGTGTATGCGTGTATATATATAGCATATATGTGGCATGTACATCACAAAATTAATACATGAATACTGTAAAAAGTAAAACATCACAAAAGTATTCAGAGTATGCGTTAAAGTCCCTTTCTCCATGGGTGTGTGAGAGCCGGCTCCCGCCAACGCACAGGACTTAACCGTGTGCATCTCTTTCCTACTCTTGTGTTCTGAGCTTCACATTTGTATGTTGAAATTGGCCATGATGGAAGTATTTACGCCATGGCAATCAGAAAACCACAAATCAGGGCACCCTCACCACCCCAAGAGCTGTTGTTAAACATTTACCAGCATGCCGATGCCTTTTTTCTATTCCATGTGTGCGCACGTGCACACACACACACACACAGTCACTCACTCAAAAATCATCTTTTCTAGAGAAGACCATTGTTGATAGATGTAACTTTTAATCAGTCACTACCAGCTACTTGAGCCAAGTGGAAATGTACTGGTAGTACTGGTTCCTTGATGTTAAAAATCAATTTTTAATCCCGTAAGCCTTTTATTTTTTACATGTTTTACAGCCCCTGAATCCTGCCCAGCCACTTTGCTTTCACTTGCCTTTCTGTGGGTAGAGTCTTGACCATATAGCTTACCATACAGACTGGGTCACATCTGAGAGTAAGAGTAGGTGCTAAGTACTTTGAGGCAACAGGTATACATTGGAGGACAATGTAGCTTCATGTACCCTGAATTTATTTTATTTTATTTTTTTTAGATTTATTTATTTGCCAGAGAGAGAGAGAGGGCACAAGCAGGGAGAGGGAGAGAAGCAGACTCCCTACTGAGCAGGGATCCCAGTGTGGGACTCGATCCCAGAACCCTGGGATCATGACCTGAGCTGAAGGCAGACACTTCACCGACCGAGCCACCCAGGCACCCCTACACTGAATTTATTAAAGCCAGAAACTGACTCTCCATACCAACAGGAGAAAATCTTACTTCCCCAAAGACAGGTGCCTGACACAAAGAAGCTGGTCTCACTGAAGGTTAGCGCTCAGATGCTGGCTAACGCCCAAGTTCAACTCAGAGGCTGCCAACCCAGGGGAGGCTGAGGTCTGCAGAGCCCACGGCGTGAATTCCCAGAACTTACACTGGGAGAGCATCAGCTTACTGCCAGCCCCAGTTCATGGGCAGGCGGGGCTGCAGCCCTCTGGGCAGAGGCAGGTACCATGCATGGTGATTCCTTAGTACTCCAGGGCAAACCAAGCTTATAAATGGGTCACTCTGATGTTTTCATGCTTCAATAAGCCAAGACGATCTTGGGTTTTGGCTGGGAGGAAAGAAAGATTTCTCTCAATCCCCATAATAGTCAGTGTCTGGGAAAGCTAAGATTCATGGAGTAACCACTATGTAAAAGGGCCCATTGCATGCATTAGCTCATTGAATGCTTGCAGCAAAACTGCAAAATGAAACTTAACTGTTTATAGATGAGGAAACTGAGTGAGCTCTGGGAAATTAACTTCCCAAAATTCACATCGTCACTATATGGCAGACCCAGAATTTAAACCCATGCCTACTTGGATGGATCCCAAACCACATAACCTGTAATGCTGCTCCCCTCCCCAATAAGAAAGAATATAATGATAATTTTGTCATCATTAATGTCTTTGAAGATTACTAGAATGCCAACTCATTCTGAAATTGATACATAAAAGAAAAGAATGAAGCATTTATCCTTTCTTTTCCTATTTAGACTGTTTCTCAGGGTAACCAAATAACAGATGAAAGTTCTTCTTTATAAAAGAATCACCGCTAATAAAAGTAGGAAGAGTTAATGACTTAAAAAAAAAGAAATGTATTAAATACGGGCAGAGGATCTGAACCTATATAGGAAGAGTATTAGATTTCTAGTCTTCCTCCTTCCACACCCATCCAGTAACACAACCCACACAGCAACCTCTCCTAGATGCTCCAAATCTTGTTATGCCCACGGACTTCCTGAAAATTCATTTGAAGTAGACCTGGCGGTCGATAATCCTAGTTAGCCTGCTGGGATCAACTCTAGGGGGCAGTCATTGATTCCCTGAAGGCTCCTGGCTTACATGGCACAGGCAGAGAGACCTGTCTGAGGGTCAGACCCTCAGACCTGAACTCAGTTGCTTGCTGCTTCTGAGTGGGGTCTCTTCGAATGTGCTGAGCTGATTTACAGAGCACATATTTGCTGAGTTGACTAATAACTTCTTTGTACCCCATCATGAAAGCACAGACCCTACTTTAATACTGTTCCCTTCAAACACTCTACTGTCCTTGAGTTAAGGCTTCATTTGTGGTTACCAGGCCTTTAGGGAGCTCTGTGTTTAGTGGAAGAAACGTGATTAAAATCCCCTCAGACACGGTTCCTGCACCCTCTTAGGGAAGACAATAAGAGCCGTCCATTCATTGAACCAAGACTTCTATGGTAGTTGGCAATTATGAGTCTTCACGGTGGCATAATAATATAAGGAAGGTATTACTATCCCTGTTCTTTAGCTAATGGAACCAGCCCTCAGAGAAATTATGTGAGTTGCCCAAAATCACGCAGGTTGTTCATGGAGGTGCTGGGATTTGAGCCAAAATCTGGCTCACTTCAAAAACCCACGTCTTTCCACTCTGTGCTGCTATCTCCCCATAAGACACTGAAGTCAGCTTGGCCGAAGGCTTATGCGGCCACGTGGTCATGTAGTTCGTGGGGATACGTGCTTTTCCCCCCCCCCTTTGCTTTTTCAATCCTGTTTACTTTCCAATTTAATGCCACTAAAGATAATGAAATGTCAGTTATCTGCCACGTGCATTCTAAGAAGTTTCAGACCCATAGAATCTAACATCAGAGATACCATGGTTTCTGTCTTCATTCATTTAACAGAACTGTTCTTAGTACCCTCCAATGTCAAGGAATGATTGGTGATACCTGAAAGAAAATGGGGGCATCACAAATGTGTAGGGTTTCTGATTGTGACTATTTGACAGAGTTGGTCCTTGGTTCGTTCCAACACCTTCAGATCATCTTGAGAGACAGTATTTTCTGGAATGAAAGAAGCGGGGTCAGTTTGGGGGAAGTGTTTCCAAGATTTGGAACCAGTGAGGCTGGGATGATGTCACGGAATGATTGACAGGGCTTGCCTAGAGCGAAACTGTTCAACAGATTCCTGGGTAGGTCATGCTGCCGAGATTCTAAAGGAAGAAAGTAAGGCCTGCAGTGGGGGCAGAATAATGTCATTGTTCTCCCTGTTCTTTCTGCATTCCACTAACATTCATTGAGCTCCCCTCTGTGATGGGCACTGTGAACAAGCAGCAAACCAGGCACAGGCAGCTTCCATGTACAGTTACCTGGAGAGCTGGAAAGTTCATTTTATTACATTCATGTAAACAATTTTAGTTTATTTTTACTTTTTTTTAAAGATTTATTTGAGAGACAGAGCGAGAGCATGAGCGGGAGGGGCAGAGGGAGAGAGAATCTCAAGCAGACTCCACGCTGAGCAGGGAGCCTGATGTGGGGCTCAATCTCTTCGACCTGAGCCAAAACCAACAGTCAGATGCTCAACCAACAGTGCCACCCAGACACCCCTAGTTTATTTTCATTTTTAAACTTGCATACCGAAGAATTGTAAGAGTAATACAATGAAG